CTTTATATGAGTTCTGGGGTTGAACTCCAGCCCTCTTTCTTGTACAGCAAGCATTTTGCCAACTGAGCCATCTCCTTAACCCAGCACAAATTCTTAAGAAGAGGAGATGACTTAATGAAGTGTAGACCTAGTAAGTGACCCTGCTCTTCCAAGGTTTTGGTTGAACACAGTCAGCTGACACTTCTGTAAGAGGATTACTACGTGAAGTGATAAGATTGGGCATTAGCACAGGCCTTGCAAGTCTGCTCACTGTCTTGGTTTTCAATTTAAGAGCAAGCAACTTTAAACTGGCATTCATTTGGGTCAATGTAGAAGCAGTCGATATGTATTATATGTCTTTGATGCTGGTCTCTGGATCAATTGCAATTAGTTTGCAGCAGATTGCATTAACATATCTGAAATTAATACGGCCAGTGTCTAATGAAAAGGAATTGACCGTGACCACAAGGTGGCTGTTTTTAGTTTCTCTCAAATGTGCCTTCAGACTATACTTTTTTCTTCTTTGGTTAATGGCTTTAAATTGGTATGTCAACATAGGCCTAATCTATTGATTCTTCCCATTTGCCTTTTAAAAGCAGTCCCTGATAATGACATGTGTGTAACATTTAATGTTTTCTTTCATTAGGTGGCGTTTACTAAATACCTTAAACTCATGTTTTTCTTGGAGTCTTGTGTGGAATACAACAGACTATTAAGCCTTTGAGTGTGTTTGTTTATCAAATTTGTGTCTTTCAAGTTACTAATGTTTCATTAAGACTTAAAAAATCAGAGGCAAAATTAAGAAGTACCAAAAAATTAGATGGTGTAAGCATTGTTTGTCCTGCTGTTAATTTTTTATCTAGGTGTTATTTATTTTTAAAGAGGAATTATAATCAACTTCAATGTTAACATTGTAAGCAATATATGTGTATATTAACACATATGGATAAATAGGAGGACTGATCTTTAGGATTGATCGTGTCACAGCGTCAGTACTTTACAAGTATACATGAATTATGTTTATTTCAAGTCCTAAGGGATGACTTTTACTTTTCTAGTTTAGAGGTAGTCAGTTTTTGGGAGTGGAACATTCTTTATATTGGGGATAAAAGGCAGAGTTTATTCCTTTGGTCATCTCACTGACTTATTTTGGTGTTTTCCATTTGCCAATTAAGATATTTTGCTAAAAGTGTCACAAAATTTAGAACACATTGCCTTAGAGTAGAAGATCATCTGTCTGTAAGGGCATAGTAGGGTGCCCAACTTTTGACATTGTGGTGCAACCCTGGCCCCCAAATGTTTGGGCCATATTCATAGTTGTCTTGTGCTACATGTGGTCAATAGGGTCTACAGGTCTTAGGTTGGACATAACTGTGAACCATGTTGGATTGTCTGTTTGAAAGAGCTCATGAGTACATCCTATAGTTTGGAGGTTACAGGAGATGACGTTTTAAGGACACTTCAGAGCTTCTGAAAGTGAATGAAGCTTCTGTGCATAGCCCTTAGTGTGCAAAGGGAAGTCATACCATACAACAGGACTCACATAGGAGGTTTATTGGTAGAGGAGAGAGAAGGGGCAGGGATGGGGGCAAAGACTGGTCCCTGGAGACAAGAGTGATGGAAAAGAGAGAGGGTGAAGGATGGAGTGAGAGAAAGATAGGAGGTGAGCAGGGCCCTTTTGAAAGGAAATGTAGTGAATATGCACAGGTGGTACTCTTAGTGGCTCAGCTGTTAGTGGCTACAGCTGAGGGCGTATCCTGTTAGAACCTTCAGGGCAGGCCAATATGGTTTCCTGAATACTAATACTTAGGCCTCTAGCAGTGTGGTTAGTCTGACATTGCCTTGGGCATTCATGGAGATCATGGTAGGAGCTAGGAGGGGTCAGAAACATGTTATTTTTCACACTTTGCAACTTTGAAATCTAGCTGTGATTAAACTTTTAATTTTCATTAATGGACAGTCATGTCTTATAAGTTCCTTAACATTATGACTCATTAGGTGTAAACAACTAAATATATCCCCCTTTTTCATTACAAATGAGATTTATAGTTTTGGTAGGATATGCTGTTTATTGTTATTGGATAAAATACAAAAGTAATTTACATGAGTGTCATCTTGTTCTTTATATTCTGTTGACATAAATTAAAAAGTAATTGATAGTGTACATTGAAATAAAAACCCCACTTCTACTGAATCTTAAAGCAAGGTTATATAATATCCAATTGCAGCCGAGCAGTAGTCTAATAATGAAGACTCTTAGGTAACTCTACTCAGTGTTGGTACAGAAGTGAGATCTTACCATTCAAATATCTATCTAAAGTCCATTAGAAACTAAAGAAGTGATTTAGAGATCTGGGAAGATTGCTGAGTCATTAAGAGCATACACTACTCTGAATTCAGTTCCCAGCATCCACGTCAGGTGACTCACAAAGACCTGTAATTGCAGTGTATCTGGTACCCTTTGGCTCCCACAAGCTCCTGCATGCATGTGGTGCACAGAAACTCACTCATACAGGCACACATACATACACATTTAGGAAAATCTTTAAAAAGAAAAACAAAGAAGTGAATTAGTGTGTGGTTCCATGATTTTATAGAGTTGAAACTATTACCCCTAAGATTTTCCTGAGTGTGATTAATGGTGTATATTAGCTATTAAGATAATGCTATGGGCTTTCCCTGTTTGGGCCAGGTGAGTGAGGGGAGGCATAGCAGTGTGTGTGAACCTTTAATGTTTTTATCTGAAAATAATTACTAGCTCACAGAATGGCCATTGGCAGTCTCATGCATCCTCTGTCTGCCTGTTGACATCTGATGCAATTCCAGGCTCTTTTTCTATACCTAACCTTTTGAACTTTAAAAAACAAAACAAACAAAAAAAAAAACTATTTTGAGTTTTGTTTTTTTAAATAGCATCTGTTAAGAGTTTCATTCTGACAGTCGAATTTTATTTTTTTGAGATTATAATATAGATATTTCATTTCCCCCTCCTTTTCCTCCCTCTAACTCCCATAAACTCTCCTTGGTCTCTTTCTAATTCATGGCTTCCTTTTCCAATATTTTGCTTTTACAAAAGTGACTGTCCTAAACACAACCTGCTTAGTCTGTATAGTGTTACTTTTATATAAATCTTTGGGGCTGACCATTTGGGAAGACTATTTCTCCCCTGTTCAGCATTCCTTAATTGCTAGTAGTTCTTTGGGAAGTGATGAAACCTCTTGGGCTTTCTCCTGTCCATATTAGCTCATCTGTTGTTGTTACCCTTATTCACTTATCATCTAGGCAATCATGTCATGTTAGTGAGACTTTGTGGGTGCAGGGTCTGATATTGCTAGGAGACACTGCCAGAAGATATAATGCCAGAAGACATTGTGCCAGGAGACACTGTGCTAGGAGATACAATGCCAGGGGACACTGTGCTAGGAGACACTGTGCTAGGAGATACAATGCCAGGAGACACTGTGCTAGGAGATACAATACCAGGAGACACTGTGCTAGGAGACACTGTGCTAGGAGATACAATGCCAGGAGACACTGTGTTAGGAGATACAATGCCAGGAGACACTGTGCTAGGAGACACCGTGCTAGGAGATACAATACCAGGAGACACAGTATTGTAGCAAACTCCTTGATCTTCTGGTTCTTACTGTCTTTTGTACTGACCTCTGCATGTTTGGCTAGGAAGTTGTTTTGTAAATGTGCACATTAGGATGGAGTCTACTACTCATTTTGGTTGTTATTGGTTGTCTGAAGAGGTCCCTTGCAAAAAGAAGTTTCCTTGACTAGGGATAAGGATTATAGTTCTCTGGGTATAATGATAAATATTTAGGATGTAGTGAGGTATTATGCTGGTTTAGTAAATTGGTGGTTGTAGATTCTTCTCTGAGATCCATAGTTTCACCAGTCCTAGATAGTTGCAGTTTCCGTTATTGAGTGAGTCATAACTCTAATCAGAGGGCTGTTGGTTGCCACCAAAATATGCATGTCACTATTGCATCCTTAGAGTTATCCTGTCATGTTGGTGGTTGTGGTTCATAGGCACAGATGGCATCATAGCCAGGGAGTACTGTTGGTTGCTTCCTTCTTTTGGAACCTTGCATTGTACTTAGTGCTTCCATGAAAACTAGTCCTCAGGGAGGAGGCATTCAGATCAGTTCCAGCTCAGAGGCCCCAGTTCCCTGGATCTGAAATGCATATTGTCTTTAGCAGTGCAGACTTATCTTCCACCTCTGGGCAGCCAAGGAAGTAGCAATAGCCTGCAATGTCTCTTGGTCAACCCTGACTAACAACTCAAGAAACCTTTTTTTATGCCTGGTATAGGGTTTCTGTTAGATGGCCTTTGGCTTTTGGAGGGAGCATTATCAGCTCAAATAGAAAGATACACACACACACACTTATATGTATTATAATTTTTTTTAGGTTGATGGTTAATAGTATGAAAGTTTCCTAAGGGATTACATAATAACTTTTAAAATTAATGTATATACTGTAGTTTGATATTTTAACTTTTACCAACCTCCCTTGCCCACTCTCCCTCCCAGTGACCTTTCCCTTCATCTTCCCAGGCAGTTTTTCTGCTTCCATGCATCTATCTTCCCCGCACCCCCACCATGGGGGGTGGTGAGACTGGGACCCAATGAGTTTAACAAGGGTTACTTAGAGGTATGGTCAGCTTACCAAGTGACTATCACCTACAAAAATGTCTCTGTCCCAAAACAACTATTAAATAGTCCTCAGGGCTGGCTGAGACTTGATGAGCCCCTTCCTCACTGACAGAAAGGAGAGTCCCCCAATCTTGTGCTGTACTTTTACCACCTTTTATAAAAATCTCCATTTATTTTTGTGTGTATAACTGTTTCTTGACATTTTTGGTTTAAAAACCCTTGTGGAGGATTTACATAGATTTGTGGCTTTAAGTTGAGTGTTGCTCATTGTTTGTTAATAGTGCCTATAACACTGGTCGCCTAGACCAAGTGTTCTTTTTCCTCTTTTTATTTAAGTGTCCACCTCTCTCTCCACAGGCAGGTCACTTAACCTCCAGAAGATGGCTGAACCTGCAGGAATACCAGAGCAAGAAGCTCATGTCAGAGCATGGAGTGCGAGTTCAGAGGTTCTTTGTTGCCAACACTGCTACGGAGGCTCTGGAGGCAGCGAAGAGACTGAGTAAGTTGGTCTAGCAGATGAGCGCTGGCCATCAGTGAAAGCACAGGACAGGGCTTCACACTTCCCTGCCTTTCTCCAGGTTACACTGCCTGGATAGAAACTTTGAATCACAAAGGCAAAAGAGCACTTGAATCAGGAAATCATGATTCTTTCTCTTGAGATAGCAGGACATGGGGGACACATTGTGGGGCTTTCTCTTTTAACTTTTCCTTTGCACGCTCTCCTATCCAACTGTGGCGGTGGGAAGAAATAGGTCTCTAGATGAGACATTCTTCTAGAAGCCTCATAAAAGCTGGGATGAGTAAGTGGAGGAGAACATGGGGAAGGCAGGCAGCAATTTCAATTTTGTCATGTCATTCACATTGGCCTTGAACTTGTGATCCTTCTCCTGAGAGCCAAGCGCTGACATCACAGATGTGCCAAAGGCATAGTTAAAGTCCCAACTGTTTCCCTCCCATTACCAGTCTGACTGCTTATGAGGTCCTTCTCTTTTCTATGCCTCTGGTTTTCCTTGGTGATGATTCTCTTCAAAGGAAATAAAAATTAAATAAAGGAAAAATCAGCTGTTTAAAAAATGGGATTTTATTTTTGGGGGTTTTCAAGAAATTCTTACTAGAGGAAGAAACTGAGACCAGAAAAGGGATTAAGAAAAGCAGATCCAATGAAGGAAGTGAGCTCAATACTGCTGTGAGTGTATGCACTATATACCCTGTGAGCACCTGTGATATTCTTCAGTGGTCAGGCCAGTGCAGGTTCTCCTTGTGGACACACTTACAGCTAAATGAGAATTCAGAGAACTAAGCAAGAAGCTCATTCGGGGCTGGGAAGACAGCCCAATCAGTAAAGTGTTTACCTTGAATGCATGAGGACCCGAGTTTGAGTCCCCAGAACTCACATACAAGTGAGGGAGAAAGGGGGCAGCAGCAACTCATCCCTTGAGTGAATGAACAGATTCACACTCAGTGAGTAGTTGTCTGAGAAGTGAGGTCTTGTCTAGTTTCTGATGTTGAATTTTGTTGATCTGAGAGGAAATTGATGGCTTTGCAGAAGGAGATGCTACCAAGTCTAGAAGGTTTAAAGTAAAAGAAGTTGATAGTGGAAAAAAAAAAAAAAAAAAAAAAAAGGGAGGTGTGTGTATCACTGTTACTGTGACTGCCTGTGGAGAGCCAAGCAAAAGAGTCTGGTGGACTCCATAGTGTTCAGGGTTTTGCCACTATAAGATTGACAAGGAACCACAGGCACACTTTTGCCAAATATATTTGAGGTTAAGATTAAAGCTGGATTACACATATGCCTTTTTGATTGTGCTGGGATCTCATATATATATATATATACACACACACATACACACGTATGTATATGTATGTGTATATATATGTATATATGAGAAATTACATGAATATTAATATTTTATCATTATTTTCAAGGACATCTAATTTCAGAATGCATATTATATCTAATTCCAGCGATAATTCAAGTTTGTGGGCAAAATAGTGTCCTGTCAATCATGTGTTAGGAGATTTTAATGTATAATGTTTGTAAATGATTGAAAGGGCTTTTTACTTTTCTTATATTCAGATATTATGTTACTTACCTTTCTCAGTTCTGTGACTAAATGCCTGACCAGAAGCAATTTAAGGGAACAAGTATCTATTTTGGCTCATGGTTTGTAGGGGGAGGCATGGCAGCAGGTAGGTAACTTATGGGAAAGGAGTTTACTTTTCACAGAACAGGATACAGAGAGCAGGTGGGAAGTGAGGTCGGACTGTAAAACCTCAAGAGGTCTACCTCATCTTCTGAGCCTCTGCCTTTTTATGGTTCACAACTTTGCAAAATAGCCACATCACTTGGGGGCTTAGGATGTGAGCCAGTGGGTGATAGTTAACATTTTAGCTACAGGAGATATTTTTAAATAAAATGGTGTATTACGAAAGGTTTTGAAAATGTTCCTTGATATTAGATGTACCTGTCTTTAAATGTAGCCCCCCTTCCCCAAATCTGTTTCGTTCTCAACAGATTGGGTATCTGAACTCTTCGTCTTGTCATCTGTGGATCATATCAGCTGTGTTTGTAACTCTCCTGGGCCAAACAGAATATGTGACCTCTCAGCTGTCCCCGAACTTTCTTACTGCCTGTGTCTTCTGTCATGCCTCTGTCTTTTGTGTTTAGTCAGTTACCAAAGTTGGTCAGCATTTAGTATAGCATTTTTGTTTTACTGACAAGGAAGCAGACAAGATAAGTTAAAAAAGTAGCCAACATTGTGGAGCTTATAATCGGCAGAGCTGTGGTTTGCATTCAGCTCTAATAGACTTAATAGTTCCTTCATGGAGTTCTCTCTCTGCAGGCTTGATGACCAGTCTAGGGAGATGGTTTGTGTAGGTCAGCCCATTTAAAATAGAAAGTGAATATTAATAAAATTAGAAGGTTGTATTTAACTTGATATAGCAGGTTCTTCTGTGCATGCAGTTAATAAAACCTGTAATTTGCAGATACTTTCTTAATGATTCATTTTGTTGTGTCTCTGGGCAACAGAACATTTTGCTGTCTAGTTGTGGAAAGCTTGTTAACTTGAACATTTGTTAAAATGGGCAATGCAAAGCTGTTTGTCTGAAATACAATTTATAACGATAAGATATTGATTGAATGAGATCCTCATTTTCTTGTACTGAAAACAGATTTATATCTGATTGAGGGAATAAAGTTGGTTTGGTAAATGAAGATTTTAATATGTGGATGCTTCTCAATAACACAGCAATGTATAGGGGTGTCTAAGCATGCTTTAAAGAAGAAAAATTGCCTGAGAGATGGCTCAGTGGCTTCAGGTACACCCAAGGCTGATGAGCAGGTACACCCTAGGACCCACATACACCCTGCACACAACAAGTGCACACACACACACACACACACATATACCCAATTAAGGTCCTTAGGTGCCTTAATAAGGCGTGTTGCTGCATTCTTCCTTTTCATACGAACTAAACTTCATGAATGCAATCCACAGATTGAGAGAACACCTACTGTGTATAGGACTGATCTAAACATTGCCTTTCAGTTCTCTTTAAGGCAGGACTGTCAGTGTAACTCAGAAGTACTTGAATATAAATGCAGATGAAACATCTTTGACTACTACCTTTCAATTTTGGGATTCTCTACAATTTGTTAATTACTCCTATCACATGGACAGAAACACTCAACATTTCATTAAGCAGGAAAAAGTATATTTAAAAAAAAAACTACAGTTTATTTTTTTTCAAATCAGTAAAAAGAAATACAAATGGAGTGATTGATCTTCTGTGAGGTAATGACATCCATCTTAAGATTCAGCTGGAGCTCTCACTGGAATTGGCTAGCTTTGGGCTTTGGTTGCTTTCAGTGATCGCATGTTTCCATTCATCAATATAAGGACTTAACTCTTTGTTTTATATAATTACATCCTGAAGCCTGGCAGATTACTTATGCCATTAAGGAATTCTACTTCTTGTCCTAAGGGAGCTGCTACCCATTGATACTGATTGACAGCTACTGTTAGTCCTGTAGACAGTTAAATACAGCAGCCTCCTGGACTTTTGAGGCTTTTCCATATGACGGTATGTGGTTAAGGTCTTCCTTTATATTGGGGCAACCATTTTTCTTATGCTGGCAGACAAGGATAATGTTGATTTCTGTGAAGTAAATATTCATTTTATCAGCCTATTACTCTGGAGTCAGCAGTGCAAAGGTGCTCCTTCAGTCTGTGTCCAGTGTGATACACTGAGGCTCAGGGAGGTCCGCTTTCTAGAAGTATGAGTGCAGGTAACAGAGTGAGGGTTTCTATGTTAAGATTCAATCGCCTTTCTGGCTGCTAGTGGCCCCTTTGCTGTTCACAGTTTCTCATCTGGCCGTGGTGATTATGTGAGCTTCCTAATTTTTCTTCCCTTTGTGATTATTTATTCCATGTGGAATACCTCTCCTTTTGTCCCCTTCCTTCTATTTCTTTTTTCCCTCTGCCCTTCTTTGTGTAGTCCTTAGGTCTCATGAATGCTAGTCCAGCACTGTAATTATTGACCCGTACCCCCCAGCCCATAGAGTCAATTTCACTTGCTTGCTGCTACTAAGCCTGACTCATCCAGATGTAAGTGAAAATCATAGGTCCTAAACATGGAAATGCACCACAGACATTGTTGGCCTGCAGGAAATCTCACTTGCTAAAGCTTAATTGTTAATGTACCCTATAAGAGCACCTGAGTTGAGATTAGGTTGACCTTAATGGTATTTGTGAAAATAATTTTATTTATCACACCTTTAATAACATTTTCCATTATATATTTTTGTAAAGAAATCTCTTTTCTAAAATGTTCTTCTCCTCCCCCCCCCCCCCCCCCGATTCCTCAACTATAAATGGGATTTTCCTTGGAATACTTCAGGGCAGGGATATCTTTTCAGTAACTATTTTGTGTCCCTGAACAGAAGCAGCAGAACTGTTGAGTCGGTGCCAGATCTGGCAAACTCTAGGGAGGTATGCCTAGGGGAGTGGACATGGAGTTTCCTTTCAGGCTTCTTAGAAAACAGAGGGAACATTGCTTCGAAAGCGAGAGCTTCGGCTTCAGTTTGGCAGTGAAGGAAAGTAACACATTTGAAACAACAAAGATAGGAGCTGGGCATTCAATCTCCCAGCCTTTACCACGTGCCTGACATCCTGTCAAATATTTGAATCCATTGTTGCTTGTAATCCTCATTTAAACCAAAGGAAACGTATCAGGAGATTTCTGTTTACCCTTCAATATGACTACCACTAGTGTACCTTTAATTGAGCTAGGTATTAACTTCCTTTTAACACGTCCTCATTGACAATTTAACAGGAAGGCAGTGTTCCACATGGCCTCATCTGCTAGAACCTCAGCATGCATTATTTCCTTCATTTGTGAACTATAGTTTTTAGTGTTCATAGAATGTCATACAATTGGAAATGCAGAGAAGTTTTGCTTAGAGTAAATGATATAGGGGCTAGTGCTGTAGGAGTC